CAAATTCATTTCCAGTGATCTATATGAAAAATCATTTGAGACGTGTTTCTCACTTTTCGCAGAATTCAAACTTCTTCGGGGGGAATGCGATTTAAAGATTTTTTGGGCGGCGTTTTAAGTTGTGTCCGATTTGCTTAAAACTTATTTTTAAAGCTCTTCATAAGAACTTAATAAGTACGTATTTCAGCGATTTGGAAAATTCCACCCGCAACAGTGGTAAATTGGCGGAAAAAGGTTGTATGAAATTTTTTTGTTTATCATCCGATCGGCCCCAAATTCATATTTAAAGATCTATGTTTTAATTCATTTAAGGGGTGTTTCACACTTTTTGAAAAAATCCATTCCTCCTTGGTGGAAATGGAGGTCAAAGATTTGGTGGGTGACGTATCGCACTCAAATTCATTTCCAGAGATCTATTAGAAAAATCATTAGAGACGTGTTTCACATTTCTCGCAAAATCTCAAACTCCTTCGGTGGAAAATGCGATTTTTAAGATTTTTTGTGTGAAGTTTTAAGAGTTTGTTTGATTCCCGTCCGATCAGTTTCAAAATCATTTTCAAAGCTTTTTTGATTTTATAACATACGTGCCACGGGCAAGGCCGGGTTATACCCGCTAGTGTCTATATATAAAACTATTTGTCCTGACTGACTGACTGACTGATTGGTGATCAACGCACAGCCCAAACCGTAAGAGGAAGCTGAAATTTTCACTGTTCACGTTAAGACGGGGTTTCGGGAAATTCCACTCGCAAGTGTGTAAAAATCGCGAAAAACGTTTGTATGTAACTTTTTTGTTTACCATCCCATCGGCCCCAAACTTATTTTCAAAGATCTTTGTTCAAATTCATTTAAGGGGTGTTTCACACTTTTTGAAAAATTCATTCCTCCTTGGTGGAAATGGAGGTCAAAGATTTGGTGGGTGACGTTTCGCACTCAAATTCATTTCCAGAGATCTATTAAACAATCATTTGAGACGTGTTTCACACTTTTCGCATAATTCAAACTTCTTCGTGGGGAATGCGATTTAAAGATTTTTTGTGCGAAGTTTTGTATATAAAATGAGTAAGAGATTTTGAATAAATATTTAAATGTTTTTTATTTTAATTTATCTTTTTATAAAAATTAGTAAAAAAAATGGTATTATTTATCCAGTATAATAATATTCAACAGTTTCTGCTCTTGGCACAGCGATATGTAATTCCAGGTTGTAAAACTGAACGCCTGCAGCTCTTTTTTGGCGAGCTGATAACACCCGTTACTAAGTCGTTGAAGTGACTTGTCTTTCATCGAATTATATTTCTTTGGAAGGAAGAATACGTGGTATTGGAGCTCCAAAGCAATTGTCTCCCAAATTATGTCTTTGTCCTCCATGCGCGTACATTATAGTACATCGCATTTTCTTCCATGGTTGTTATACTCAAAAGGGGTTTTGCCCCTCCAGACTCCAGCTCGGTTTTGTGTTTGTGGGTGGGCGGTTCTCGTTCGGTAGGTTTATTTATTTCACTTTTGTCTTTTCCGCAGGTTGACTTATTTCCGACAATATATGTACGCATATATATATTCTTCTTTTTACTTTATTATTTCTTTGTCTTATTTTGTCTCTTTCACAAACTTAAAAAAAAACAACAAAAAAATAAAAACACACGAAACGCATTTAATGTTCTTTTAAATTTTGATTATCCTTCACTTAGGGGTTTGCCTTTGTCTTTATTATTTTCCTTTTCCTATTATTATTTCCTTTTTTTTTCCTTTAATTTTTTTGTTGTTCCCTTCACAAAAAAAAAGTGAATTGATGTATTTTTAACTTTAAATCCTCTTCCATTTAACTGGTTTTCTGATTGTCTGTTTTTATTGTTCACTTCGTTTTATTTATTATTTTTTTTTTTGAAAACTCTTGTTTGGGCATACTTGATACTTTAATCCGCAAACATGCCACGCCCCTAAACGCTTCCTAAGACCCAGTTCGGGCGCCACTTGTAAGGAAGCTACTGGCCGGGGTACAACTCTCAGTCTTACCAGGACCATCAAACTACAAGACATTTGTAGGTTTCTGGGTTGGAGGGCTATAGGGGGAGGAAGTGCTTTAAACGAACTAGGACTCCTACTACTTTGATAGGATATGGAGGGAAATGCATACACATGACCAAGCCTCAATTAACACACACACACGACCGGGATTGCTCACGCGATCGGCAGGCTAAGCCCTGACTCACACATGCACGGCCAGGATTGCTCACGTGGTCGGCAGGCTAAGCCTTGATTCACACACGCACGGCACACTAGGTTAAGGGGAGAGGTTATGTTGCACATCGCTAATGCCGACGTTCGAGAATATAACTAACAGAAAATAAATTAACTGGCAGACTTTCTTTACTAACTCCACTTTTATTCACATGCCTTGTTCTGTTAATTATTAGGCTCTACCCTATGCTATTCCCTAAACTAAAGCCCTTCCGCCCTGCCTGGAGCCCTAGCGCTCCGCTTCATACTCTAAGTCTCCTCTGCTTCACTTTCTATTACACACGTATACTCATTCTGATGCCCTCTCTCGGCCGCTAGCCTCGGCCGCTCAACTTCGCCGCGAGCGGGACGGTGTTGAGCAACCGACCGAGAAAGCACGGTTGCTGCGGCGGCCGGCGGGTAAATTCAAACTGAACTTAAACTGGTCTTCTTGCCCCTAACCAACTTCAATACCTCGGCATTTTCCTTAACCATTCGTATAAATAACACAATGCTTATATACTATAACTATAATTATGAACTGTGGGGTGGCTACTTTAGTGGCTGCCTCACCAGCCCTATTTTCTCAACTATTTGGGACTTTAAATAATTTTGTTTAAACAAAAGCTTAGACCTTGTCTAGGTCGTTAGCCCTACTCATGTAACGTTTGTGTGATTTTTTGAAGAATATATATCTTCAGAAGTATGTTCACTGAGGCTATTACAATTATCATAATTAGATGTTAATTGCAGATGGGGTGTAGTGTCTGCAACTTCTACTAAGATTGCTACATTGGCAGGGTTATCATCTGCCTTAGATTATTTTCCACCCATTTTTATACAATGACCTGGCCTTTTTCAATCGGACAATAAGAATTAATCGCAATATTTTTTGTTATAAAAAAAACAGTACTGATAAATTTTAGGGCTTATAGATTTTTACAACTTTACCTAACAGAGTTTTATATTTTGTTTCAGATTTTATATTAATTAATTATTAATTATAATATATTAGTATAATTAGCGGTATGTTTGTTAACTGCAGATGGGGTGTAGGGTCCACAACATCTACCACGTTCGCTACATTGGCAGTGTTATCATCTGCCTTGGATTGTTTTCCACCCATTTTTATACAATGACCTGGCCTTTTGAGAAATTTAAGGACTTATAGATTTTTACAAGTGTTTCACACTTTTCGCAGATTCAAAATTTCATCGATAGAAATGCGATTCACAGATTTGATGGGCGAAGTTTTAAGTTGTGCCTTATATGCTTGAACTTATTTTCAAAGCTCTACATAAGAACCGCTTTGAAAGCAGTGCATACTCAATTTTTAAAAGCATCTATTTGTGTTAGCCTTTCTTTTGGAAAATTTCAGTTTTAATGTCCGAACAGTTTTTAAATCTATGAATTTCTTTCTGATATCATTATTTTCATTATTATTCACAGATCATTTAAATGAGCGAAAAATGTAAGTGACCCCAAAGCAGTAATAGCACAACAACAATAACGACAACAACAGCACCACATGGCAAAAGACAACACATGAGTCACTCTCTAGAGGAAAACGCTGCTCCTGTCGAGTCGAATTTTTAAAATCACTGAAATACGTATTTAATAAGTTCTTATGTAGAGCTTTGAAAATAAGATCATAACAGATACTACCAAACCTTTTTGTGTTCCCTTAAATGAATCAGCTATTTCTAGTGCGCCAAGAAAACGCCGAGAAAACGTTACCGGTGTTTTTAATACCTTTTATTTAAGCACTTATACGATTTTTCAAAGTTTGACCCATGCAGCTTTATTTTCTCAACTATTTAGGACTATGCCATGTAGAACTTTTCCTACTTAAATATTTTTATTTAAACAGAAGCTTATAGCCTTTGTCCACTGACCACATACCCTACACACAGCGACATAGCTCCGACGACATATCTCCGCCCAGTACATTTTTTTGTCGGAATTATGTCGTTTTTTTTTGGAGAATTTATGACGTTTAAAAACGAAATAACCCTGCCGTTGTTCACGGCGAGAATATGTCGTTTTAAAGCGACATAGGTCCGCCGCTTAAAAAACGACATATGGAAAGTAGAGAGAAGCTAATATTTATATGAAAGTACGCATATCTCCCACTTTTTAACACAATTAAAATTTTAATATAATTTTTACTTACTCACATTACGAGCACATCAGTAAAAATTTATTTTTGGTGTCGGTATTTTGAATATTTTGGCACTTGTAAGGAAGCTACTGGCCGGGGTACAACTCTCAGTCACCATCTGGGATGGTGGGTTTAGAGGGGGGAGGAAGTGTTTCAAACAAACTATGATCTTCACTACTTTCATGGGATAAGGATGGAAATGCATACACGTGACCGGGATTACTCACGCGATCAGCAGGCCAGGCCCTGATTCACACATGCACGGCCGGGATTGCTCATGCGATCGGTAGGCTAAGCCCTGATTCACACATACACGGCCGGGATTGCTCACACGGTCGATAGGCTAAGCTCCAATTCACACATACACGGCACGCTAGGTTATGAGAAGATGGTATGCTGAACACTGGTTAACTTCGGGGCCCGAAGTTAGGGTTAATAGAAAATAAATGGAGTTAACCGACTTTCATTGCTAACTTCATTTATTCACATCCACTTACTATTCGCTACATTACATGATTTCCCTAAGTTAAAGCCCTGCCGCACTGTCCGGAGACCTAGCGCTCCGCTGCACACCCTAAGTCTCCTTTTACCCTTACTTCTCTTACGCATGGCTACTCACCCTGACGTTCGATCGCAGGCGAGCCGTGCGCTGGTCGCAGTCGCTCAACATACCCGGCCAGTAGTACCTCTGGGCTAACCTCGATACCGTTTTCCTCAAGCCTTGATGCCCGGCCGTGGGAGCATCATGACATTCTTGCAATACCCTCTGTCGGTGACCACTAGCCACACATAGCTTCCAGGGAATGTAGTCCTCATCGTCCGTCCGGTGGGCCGTCAGGGGGCCTCGGCCACCACTGCATGCTGACAGGTCTCTAGAGGATGCCTTGATAGTGCATCGGCCACGACGTTGAGCTTCCCTCGACGGTAGTGAACGTCAAATTGGAACTGTTGGAGTTCCAGTGCCGATCGAGTGATCCTTCCTGACGGGCTCTCGATCGAGTTAAGCCACTTGAGTGCCAGACGGTCCGTTATCACATCGAATCGGAAACTCTCTAGGTAGCAACGCAACTTCCGGATCGACCATACAATTGCCAGGTACCCTTTCTCAGAGTGCCGTTAGCGGCTGTACCTGAGTCGCAAAGTTGGGAACAAAACGCCTGTACCATGAAGCCGTCCCGAGACACTGTCGCAACTCCTTACAATTAGTCGGGGCTCTAAGGTCACGTATCGCCTCCAACTTCTCCGGATCGGCTCGTATCCCTTCCGCACAAATAACATGCCCCAGGTAAACCAACCTGTCCCTGAAGAAGCTGAATTTCTTTCTATTCACTCTGAGATCGCCCTTAACCGGCGGAACACCTCCCCAAGTTCTCTACATGTTGTTCTTTCGTCGCCCCTATTACCACGATATCGTCTAGGTAGGCGCACGCATGAGGCTCCATCTCCGGCACGGTATCTGCTAGTACCCGTGCTTCAAATCCAGACTGGAGATGAACCGGGCTTGACGCAACCGCTCCAGGATGTGATTAATCCGGGGGACAGGATAAGCATCCGGAATGGAATGCACATTGAGTTGTCAGACACCATGCTGTAGGAAGCAACAGCTGACGAGAGCTCGATTTTCGCGATCTGGAAGCTCACCAAAGTTTCCCGTCCGTCATGCCAACGGAACCTGGGCCAGATCGCCAAAGGACAGAGCAGAAGCCTTCGCCAGCAATCTGGAGGAGACCGCATCACATGACAGGCTACAAAGAGTCGCACAAACCCTGTAGGAACCCTCCAAATGTTCCTCCCTGTGCCATACATTTAAAATAAAAAATATATTTTGTATATTTTAAGCATTATTAAAAATGTTAAAATATATTTTTGAAAATATAAATCTGACTTTAATCTTCGTTTTTGTGCGTAATCTGGCGACAAACACGAAAAGGAAGACGAAGTCATACATATGTATGCATGGAAAAAGGCATGTGTGTATGTAAATACAAACATACATATGTAAGCTTGAGCATTCATATATGTGGTCTCCAGTTTTCAGTGATGAACAACCCTGAGACGACGTTTTATTATTTTAATGTTTATTTATTATTATTTTGATAGTTGTAGCTTAAAATGCTATTTAGTTAATAATACTGTACATATGTAATTTTTTGTGTAAAATTTATAGACTTTAACGAATCACTCCTGCGTGTGTAGCCTACGAGAAATCGTCATCGACTGACTCTCTGAGCGGACGCTCTGACCGTTTGCTCTCTCTTGTAGCTTTTTGGCTCTCTGTTGTTGTCGTCGTTTAATAACGGCGACCACTGCGCGTTGCTCGCTCGGCTGCTTGCTCTTCTGGAACTTTCCCGAATCCCACATTCGGCCCTCCTAACATGGAATTCTTCCCAAATTCTTTCATGAATTCTGCTACCGGAGACGTTTTACAAGGACCTTCTCCATAACCTTCTTTCTCTACGTCATATCTGCCATGTTTGTGTCTCTTTATCAGATATTTTCCCTTCAACTTTTACCCTACTCCATACTGAGTACGCTTAATCGCAACCAAGTCGTCTATCTTGTATCGCTCTTCTACCTTTCTATTCGAATCAAATGCTCGTTTATTCTCATCTTGCAATACCTTTATATTTTCCCCAGCTTGCTTTCTTAATCGTTCACGTTCGTCCTCCAATTCATCTAAAACAGACTGCTGCACCAACTCTTTGAGCTCCAGATTTTCTGAACAACGCATGTCACAACCTGTCAAGATTTTAAACGGAGTAATCTTTGTACTTCTCGGCTCTGTATTGTTAATTAGCTGTTGTACTCTACCTACGTGCTTTTACCAAGAACATATCATATGCTTGTCGCAGTAATCTTTCAAAAGATTCGCTGTAAAAGTCGTACCTCTGTCTGACACAATCCTATATGGGTTACCAAAATTAATAGCCTGCCGCTCTAAATAAGTTATAACTTCTTCGGCTCCTGTACTGCGAGTTGGATATAATCAGACATATTTTGAAAATCCATCGACAATAACTAAAATGTGATTATATCTCTTCTTTGTTATTTCCATCGGCCCCACGTGATCAATATGATACGTAACTAATTGCTTATCACCCTTATTTATCGCACTTTTTCCTTCAGTTTTGGAATAAAATATGACTTTTCTATCAAACATTGCGTTTTCTTTCCCGAAAAATGTCCCTGTCTGTGAGCAATTTGGATTATCTCTGCGTCCATTTGAGGCGGAACTACAATCAATTCTCGATCTGGATCCTTGTAAAAGTTCTCGTACCCCTTACTTTTTACCAATATTCTCACTGTCAGTCAGAACGAAACGAGCTGTTCTGCTTAATGCATCTACATGTCTCATTTTCGTACCTGAGCGGTGCTCTATTTCGTAATCAAAGTCTTGTAGAAACATCGCCCATCGTGCTACTCTCAACGGCACCTCCTTCTTTTTCATCGTCATGGCGAACGCATTGCAATCGGTTACGATCTTAAATTTCGTTCCCAAGAGATAAACTTGCCATTTTGTCAAAGCTCCTATGACTGCAAGCACTTCGAGTTCGTACGAGTGATACTTTGCCTCGCTAGGCTTTGTTTTACGACTCATGTAAATTACAGGATGAAAGAAGCGATCTTCTGAGTTTTTCTGCAATAATACAGCCCCAAACCCAAACTTAGATGCATCCGTTTGAATTTCTGTAGCCAATTTAGGTTTATACAACATAAGAACTGGTCCACTGGTTAACGCCATTTTTAACTGTAAGAATGCCAACTGCTGTAACTCCTTAAATTCAAACTTTGAATCCTTCCTAAGCATGTCTGACAACGGCTTAGCAATTACAGCATATCCGTCGATAAATTTCCTAAAATACGAAGTCAAGCCAAGAAAACGTTGAACACCTTTTTTATCACGGGGTATTGGAAAATTTGCTACTGCCTGCGTTTTCTTGTCACTTGGTTTAATAGTACCGTTTTCCAAAATTTACCCTACAAAATGTACCTTCTTCTGTAAAATCTGGCATTTGCTCCAATTAATACGCAAGCCATTTTTCGCTGCCACTTCAAGAACTCTCTGTAACTTTTGTAAGCCTTCCTCAACATCTATGCTTGGGATGACGCTATCATCCATGTACACGACGCATCACCATTGTTTATTAGCTCACGCATAACAGACACAATAAATCTCGTATATACTGCAGGTGAGTTTGAGATACCAAATGGAACATACAAAAACTCATACTGCCCTTTCTGCGTTACAAAAGATGTATATTTCTGTGACTGTGCCTCTACTGGTACGTGGAAATATCCATTCGTCAAATCCAACGTAGTAAAAATCAGTGCTCCCTGCAACTTCTCAATGTCACTGTCCATTTGCACCATCGGAAAGTCACGCACTATCTTTTCATTCAACTTGCGATAATCGCAACATAGCCGCTTTTTCCGGTTTTTCTTATCTACCAGAAGAATGGGAGAAGCATATTCGGATAATAATTTATAATCTTGTCCGCAAGCCACTCTTCAACTTGGTCGTCTACATCTGTCTGCTCACTGAACGCTAAGCGCCTCGGATGCTGGTAAACTGGTATCTCATCCGTAAACACAATCTTCATTTCTACGGGACAGTTTACGCTTTTCTTCGGATTATACTCGTGTATCATCCTTCTCACTTTATTGTGTCTGTGTTAAACCTGACAGGAAAACCTCATCACCTGCCTTACTTTGCTCTGAGCTCAGCATACATAGGCTTTTGAATTAATTAATTAAATCGGCGCATGAGCCCTGGGCTTTCTGTTTAGCATAGCTTTGATTCCTTAATTCACTTTCACTGGTCACCCTGCGTACAAACTCTGTTCCCTGTTTTGTCACTTTCATATCGATAGTTTCAAGAATCGTTCTGCCCAAAATTGCGTCAGATGCGATGTCTTCATCGGAAATAACATGAAACTCGACATGCATATCTATTCCATCTATCTGCACTGGGATTGTCAAACTTCCAAGTGTTACTATCTGACTCTCGCCAATGCCTGTCAAACATTTCTCACGACCCGATAACTTGTCAACTCCTAATTTTGCAAAAACATTCTGCTCCTGTATCCACAATTCCTCTAAAAACTACCTTTGAATGAACAACAGACTTCAGTTCTAGCCCGGAAGGGGTAAACAAGCTTGCTGGCTTTATTTTGCCCTCATCCTGAACAAGATTTGTTCCCTTTTCTTGCTTTATATGCCCGTCCATTTTGCAATGTGCTGCTCTATGCCCTGGTTGATTGCAACGGAAACACTTAAATTCAATTTGCGGACAATCTTTCCGTAAATGTGATAGATCACCACACTTGAAACATTTTCTTACTGGTTCCGATCTTTTCCCTGCGACGTTCTCTTTTTTGCCGACCTGCGAGCTATTTTTATCTACTTGCTTTAAAGGCCCTCTTCAAATGCCTCATATTTCTGGCTTGGTACAATAGAGCTTTATTTGCTCTGGTATCCGGTATCCCATCTATGAAATATTCTATTAAACTTTCCTCTTCCAAATCAATCGGCTTCGCTATCTCCATCAGCGCATACAAATATTCATGCAGTGTTTCGCTCTTCTTCTGCTGACGCTTGCTAAGCCTACGAAGCTGGGCCCACAGCGGATCCCAATTTTTAGAAGGGTGGCAACGCCAGGTTTGCGATCCACGGCGCCAAAAGCGACGATTGCCATTGGCCGTCCGATTCGCTCTTAAAGAGACTATGAGGAGAGTGGATCACCTCGCAAATATATGCGTGTGCCGAAATTGGGCACCGATGATGTTGCTACCCAAATGTACGGGGAGTTCGATTTGATCAGCGGTCAACGGCGAGCGTGCCAGCTCGAAGTGAGCATACAATTTTTATCTTGCATACCGGCAAGTTAAGCCGGCTCGTAATAACAAAAAACTTATCAAACAAATAAAAATTTTGGTTTTGTTTTTTTTTGCAATTTAATAAAAATCAAAAAAAACGGCTCCGACAACGAAGGGACCAGCTCTCGTACCAGAGAGGCCCACGAAACATACCAAAGGCCAGGATTCGGCCCAGCGGCGCACACCAGCCATATCCGCGACGCCGCCAGCCAAGCGTCGGCGCAACCCTGAAGGCGACGAGACGGGCCACCAACGACCGGGCTCCAACAACGAAGAAGCGGCCACAGGCAAGACCACGCCCACATCCTCCAAGTGAGTCTGTTCCATTTTGGCCCTCTTCGTTCGAGTCCTTGGCAGAGTCAGACGAAGACTCCTGATTGTACTCCTTGAAAAAGAGCAGATTTTTTTATCGTTAAATTTAGTTTTTTTTTGTTTATAAATTATATTTATACATACATAGGCACTTACGCCGAGCTTCACTATAGAGTGCGAACGGTGAGGGAAAACTACACCCAGAGAATCCGATGAGCCAGCCGGCGCGGCCCACCGTAACAATTTGAAACACTTGGTTTGTACTAAGTCTGCTCCGCTTTTGCTTCTTTATTATTTCTGTTTTATTCTTCAATATATGAAATGGAGTTAAGCTAATTATGTTAAAGCTAAAATCGTCAGAGAGGGAGACCGTACTCATGCAAGTTATCACCCAGGCTGCAAAGCAATTCTTATTGAAATCATTAACAGTATTTCGGAATAAGTTTCTATTCCAAGTACTTAGCCATATCACACTTATTAGACCCGTTTCAATCATTACGTCCACTTAACACGCAGCTGCGGCTTTGCTTACATAAAGATCCAGACTCCCGGCTCTAACATAATCATAAGCACAGCGAGCTTCTGAGCTTTAAGAAAATAAGCTTTATCATAAACATAGCTGACCTGCAGCAAAGTTTATAATTGTACTTTAGTTCTAATTTTGGATTCAAATAAATCGGAATCTTCTAGCCTCCCACAATAAAAATATTTTTTTCCAATTAGTCGATACTAATTGGTTAATTTGCATATATATTTGCATTAAAGTATTAGTGCGCGTGTTGCTATGCACTTAGTACTCCCGGCTTTGCCTGTGGGATGCATGGTCAGCGCTTATGCCGTAAGTCGACATAAGACGGTGACCGTCAAGTGGCTGATCATATTATATTTGATCGAGTCACTGACTTGCGCTTATGTTTTGATTTGTTCGTTTATATCCATTGTTGTCAACGGCAATATTTAAGATTGTAACAAAGTGTTACAATGCGCATGCACGAATACACTACAATTGTCAATTACATAACATCGCGACCGCTGAAATCTCGCCTGTTCTCGCGGAAAACTGCAATCTCGGATGTTCGAGCTAAATTATGAGAAGCAGACGTTTTTAGAGGCCAAGGGTTCTGATTTTGAGTTTAAAAATGATGAATGGGTAGCAAAACTTACATTTCTGGCGGACATATTCGCTCATTTAAATGATCTGAGAATACTTACTAAAAGTAATGATAGCAGAAAGAATTCATAGACGTAAAAACTGTTCGGAAATTAAAACTGAAATTTTCCAAAATTGTGTATGCACTGCTTTCAAATTATGCGAATTGGGATTTTCAACTGTCACTATGATAAAACTAGCGGGTAAAACACGGTCTTCCCATGGCACGAATAAAATAAATTTCTCTAAAAGCTTTAAGAATGAACAATCAACTTTCTTCCAAGCCAATTTACCACTGTCGCGGGTGGAATTTCCCAAATCGCTGAAACTGGTATTCCTTAAGTTCCTATGTAGAGCTTTGAAAATAATACAATAAAATCTTTGAATTGGACCTTCCACCATGAAAACTTTGATTTTTCTTAAAATGTGAAACACGGTTTAAATGTTTTATACCCTGAATAGTATAATGTATTTGTGCAAATGTATGTAACAGGCAGAAGGAAGCATCTCCGACCCTATAAAGTATATATATTCTCGATCATTATCAATAGCCGAGTCGATCTACCTATGTCCATCTGTCTGTCCGTCCGTCTGTCCGTATGTATGAACGCAAGGTTCTTAGAACCTTTAAGAGCTAGAGACTTGCAATTTTAGCTGTGAGTCCTCCTAGGGTCTGCGCAGATCGAGTTTGTTTTCGATATTCGAAAACTTGCACCGCTTCCAAGTAATCGATAAAAATCGATATCGAAATTCTGTGTTTTGATCAATTTTGGTATATAATAAGAGCTAGAGTCACAGAACTTCACATGTAGCTTCTAGAATATTATATATATCAAGTATCTATCACCACCACCTCCCCACTACTACATCATAGCTATAAATCCAGTAAATAAACCAATTTATGCTGTTCACAATATAAGCCACAATGTAAATGCAATTGACTTTTTAATAAAACACGAATATTCTCTAGTACAATAATTTCATCAAGATCGGTTAAGAAATACGAAAGAATATGTGTTTCGGCTGCCCACGTGCTTGCGGCAGCAAGCGCAAATTGCAGGAATTTCTGTATACATGAACACACACACATTCACGCGCGTCTTCTTTGAGATCTATCAACAGCATTGCAATTGCGATTGTTTTGTATTCTGTGCTGCTCTTCTAATACGTTATTTTCTCATTAAGACATAAGTATTGGTGTGGCTGTTGGGTGGAGGCGGCGGCGAATAGTGTGGTCTGTAGCGAGTTCGAGCCCTACCGAGGGAACCATTAATTTTTTTTTTTTATGGTGAGGCTATTGAGAAAAGGCGGCGGCAAGTAGTGCGGTTAGTTGCGAGCTCAAACCCTGCAAAGGGAACTTTTTTTTTTTTAATTTTTGTATATTACTATTAAAGCAAACGAGCGGGTAGCGCGAGCTGTATTTGGTGTTGGAATGAGAGGGTTCAGGGTATCCCCTAGTCGGGAGCTCCCGACGATAACCTATAACTTGTTTTATATAGATACATGGAAATGCATTAGGACTAAACGCCAACCACCAATTTACCACTGTAGTGGGTGGAATTTGCCAAATCGCTGAAACACTTATTAATGAAGTTGTTATGTAGACCTTTGAAAATAAGTTTGAAGTAAATCAGACACATCTAAAAACTTCGCCCATCAAATCTTTGAATCGCATTTCTCAAATGATTTTTCTTATAGATCTTGGGAAATGAATTTGAGCGCGAAACGTCAACCACCAAATTTTCGACTCCCATTTCCACCAAGGAGGGATGGATTTTCCGAAAAGTCTGAAACACCCCTCGAGACCGATCGGATAGTAAACAAAAAAGTTTCGAACAAACATTCTTTTTAATCGTTGTGGGTGGAATTTCCAATATCGCTGAAACAAGTATTTATTAAGTTCTTATGTAGAGCTTTAAAAATAAGTTTGAAACAAAACGGACAAATCTTAATAATCGCACTTTTTACCGGGGATGCTTTGATTCTGCGAAGAATGAGATACACGTATCAAATGATTTTTCCTATATATCTTTGGGTTTGAGCGCGAAACGTCACTTACCAAATCTTTGAGGAATGGATATTTCGAAAAGCGTGAACACCCTTCAATTGAATTTGAGCAAAGATCTTTGAAAATGAGTTTGAGGCCGATCGGATGGTAAACAAAAATTTGCATACAAACGATTCATCGTCATTGTAAACGAATTGCAGTCAGTTTACTTTATGCCTTAAACTTTATGCCTAATACGTACACAAGCCTTTTTATTAGAGCAGACATGACAGCAAGAACTTCGTATTCGTATGCGGTATGTGGGTTATTCTGCAACAATACCCAAAACTAAACTTGCTAGCATCCGTGTGAATTTCCGTTTCTAACTTAGGATTATACAATTTGAATACTGGTCTATTCGTAAACGCTGCTTTCAATTGTTCAAATGCGACATTCTGCAACTCTGTAAATTCAAAAGTTGCATCCTTTCGCAAAATGTGAATATCCTTTTTATCTCAAGGTATCGAAAATTTTCAACAGCGTGGGTGTTGGATGAAAAGAGTTTTTTGAATTTTTGAGAATCTAATCTAAGGTGGGCGTGTGTAGATGGTATGAAGTTTTAATAAAGTTTTAACAAATTGCTGAGCATCTAGAATTGACTTCTATGATACGCGTACAGATCTGATTTCTTAAAATAACTTAAGATTAAAGGGACTGAGTTACAATTACAGTGTTCGAAAGAGAGCGAGACTTCGTAAACGAAAAGAGAATTCTTAGTTGAGAGTGATTGACGTGTTTTACTTGTGCTCCAAGATTTTTATATATTTTTGCGCTTTAATCCTGCTTTTTATTTCTAAATTTTGCATTATTGGTGCTTTATTTAAAAAGCCTTTATTACTTGTGCAAAGTATTATCTGTTGTGCAGCGTAAGTCTGTTAATTATTGCATTTATTAAACACGGCGTCAGTTCCGTATTGTTGTTATTGCCTGTTTTGATCCTTTTGCTTTGGTGTTCCCCTGTGCACTTACTTGTTTGTGCGTGTGTTTTCATTGCTGCATATTTGTTTGTTTACGAATAGCTATTTTTTGAGCGTTTACTTGCTCTATTTTTGTGCACCGTGTTTCGTTTTGCTCTGCGCTCTCGCAACTTCTGCTTATCTTTTAACGCTGGTAGTAATTATGTCGTGCTGTAAGAAACCTTGCACGTTCAAGCAGGCTGATGATTCTGCATTGCCGCAATTTGTTAATTGCTGGCTGTGTGAGAATATAATGCATGCTAAATGTGCAGGTCTCACTGGGCGTGATTGCGACAAGATCGCTGCAATTGCCAAGAAGGGCTGCGGCGGTTTGCGTTGGTCGTGCCCAGAATGCATCGACAAGCAAATTGATTTCTCCAGAATGTATAATTCTGTGAGAAATCAATCCTTAAAACTAAATAACGTGGCTAATCAACTCTCGAGTAGTTTTGACTCGAGTTGTGAGTTGCTTAGCAAATACAAATTCGAGTCTCCAACCAATCGCCGGTTGGAGCCTCAATTTTTGCAGTTGCCCTCTCCGTCTGTCAGGCACTCATATGCCTCTTTTGGCCCTGCCTTGCAACTTGGATTTATCCCCAATGTTGTCATTATTGCTTTCTTCTCCCCTGTTTTATCCGTCATACCTGAACCTGTCCCAGTTAGCCAAACTGCCTCAGCTCCCTCAGCTCCTTGCCCAGATTGTTAAAAACAATCATGGTGCCTCCTTGGCCCCACCAAATCCTGTTTTACCTGCAGCCCAATCAGGTCCTACTTTAACTGTTGTTGCCCCTCGTAGGCAAGTTTTTGTGTCTCGACTTTCGTCTGACACCACCTCTGAGTCATTGGCAGCTTATATTGCTAGCAAATCCTCTGCTAGTGTATCAATTACTAAATTTAATTTCTCCACTTCTCTTGAAATATCATCATTCAAAATAAATGTTTCACATGATATGTTCCCAATCATTTGTGATCCCAAATTTTGGCCTCCACACATGATTGTTCACGAGTTGAAGCCAAAAAAGCCGTAAACCTTCCCCTCCCTTCAATAGAGGGTACCAATGCTGCCCCAAAAAACTAACTTCTTTTTCTGACTTCCCCTGTTCATCATGGATTTGTAAAGAATCGGTCAACTACGACCAATCTGCTTGAGCTTACTTCCTTGGTAAATGATGCTTTCCTTTCGAAAATGCAAACTGATGTCATTTACACTGACTTCAGTAAGGCGTTTGACTCTGTGCACCATAACATTTTACTTTTTAAACTTGATCGAATAGGGTTCCCTTCGTCTCTTTAGCTTTGGATTAGTTCTTATTTAAAAGGTAGGACCCAAAGAGTAATGCTGAGGCTGACTACCTCTAAACAGGTTCACGTTACTTCTGGTGTCCCTCAAGGTAGTCATCTTGGACCTTTACTTTTCAATCTTTTTATAAATGATCTCCCCTCTGTTATATCCCATGCCCGTGTACTCATGTCTAGCATACATCATCCCCTCATCATTCTCGTCTTCAAGACGATTTGAACGCTCTGCAACTTTGGTGTTCGGCAAATCAATTGCATCTGAATTGTTCAAAGTGTATGTTTATGACATTTAATCGTACTACACCTTATCTTGTTAGATATACAATCGACAATATTCCAGTGCAACGTATACTAACAGTTAAGGATCTAGGCGTTCTTTTTGATTCAAAACTCTGCTTCAATCTTCAAATAGAAACCATCGTTAATGAGGCAAAAGGTGTACTAGGATTCATGAAACGATGGTCTAAAGATTTTAACGAATCTTTTCTTGTTCGCCCTATCCTTGAATACTGCTCTTGCATGTGGTCTTCCGCAGTATAACAATAGCCAGGATCGTATTGAATCTGTTCAGAAGCAATTTCTGCTTTCTTTCCCCTACTTTCTCTACCCCTAATAAATCGTTGCTTTCAGGATACCTTCGGGAAGTCACTGTCCATTCCCAGCTATGAGCAGGGGCATAGCTGGCCGGACAGGCTGGTTATTTTTATGGTATTTTCTTAAATAATATGGCAAATTAATTATTTTTAATTTTACTTAAGAACACTTTTTTCCTACACCCTTCTTCTTTGATGTAGGCTCTAATAGCGTCACTGACATAATTAGCTGTGAAAAGGGGCACAGCTGGCCGGACTGGCAAATAAAACACCTCCATCGGTCGGTGATGCTATTAGAAATTTGTGTTCGCTAACTAGGCTTTTAGCATTTAATTTTCATAATTGTATTCGTTAATTCACAATTAGTTAAGAAATAAACAAATTTGGTTTTATCTGCTCCACTGGTTTAATTCGACTGACTTAAGAAAAAGACTACAAGTATTGCGTCTGGGCTATTTGCTTAAAATACATAACTTAGAACATAACCGCAATACTGTTGCAATTGGAGGTCGTTGGAAAGGGTGGTCAGGGGGGTCAGGTGTCATGCCGGGTGTCAGTAGCTACAGGTTCCGGAGAGGGCCCAACCGAACATTGTGTTTTGCGCCACCGGCAGACCGTCTTGGCTCAATCTGAAGTTGATTTACCGTCTGAAGAATAACTTCCATGTTCGAGCCTTCGTACGGTACAAGCCCCTTCTGCACCGATTCGATTGACGGAAAGCCCAAGGGCCGTTGCCAAGGATGCATCGATGCGACTCGTTAGACTGCACGGATTGATAAGCGCTCGAGTCTCGAAGATTTTTGTTCCGTTTTCTAGGAGCACTGATGCCCCTGCGCTGGATCGGGGCGAGAGTCACGTGGCCCTAGAAGGGCACTTCTTTTCCTCTCCTCTCCTTTTATGTGCAGCAAACTGTGATGGTTCTTGCCACAGGATCGGCAGCGATCATTGTTGCGGCACGATGATCGTGAATGCTCTTGGGACAGGCAGTTGGGGCAGTACTTGTTTATCAGTACTGCCCGGAGACGCTTCTCAGGGCTCAGCCTCAGGAAGCGTCGGCATCGGTACGACCCCACTCCACGGGGCTGTTGGCTAGTGTTGTCTTGGTCTGGGACCATTTTTTTAATTTGTAGACACAGAGGACAATACAGGTGTTAGTTTGGTGGTCTGTATCTACGTAATGGTGGCATCAGAATCAACTGGTAGGTGGATGAGCTTAGCCACGGGCCTTTTGATGACGCCGCGGGTAGTAAGGACATCTACCACGTGGACCATGTTATCCGTGCCTGGATGAGTAGTTTGGACTAGGCCGAGCCGCCATTCGTTGGATGACGATAACCATATCACCGATCTGAAGGTTTCTCGTAAGATGTTGCCAATTGTTTTTTTGTGCAACTCCTTGAGGTTTTCCTCTTTCCAATGGAAACAGAACTCCTGATTAACGGCTTTGAGACATTGCCAGCGGTTCAGGATGGACGCTGCAGTCTCCTTAATGTCAGGCTCCGAAATCGATACAGGAAGACTGCCGACTAGGGAATGGCCTGGACTAAGGCCCAGAAGGTCAACCGGGCTCTCTGATAATGGAGAGATTTGCCTCGAGTTGAGGCATGCTTCTATTATTGATAAAAGCGTGTATAACTCTTCAAACGTGTATTTGAAAGAGGAAGTGGCCTTGGAACAAACATCTCTTTCGACCGCGTCACTTATTACTTTTTTTAAAATAACTTATAAAGTGTATTGTTTATAAATAATCGTATAAAATTGCCACAAAACGCGCAAACAAGTAATATAACATACGTAAAATCAGTGTGCACAAATAGGAACTGAGAAAAGGTCTTCTGCAAAGCGGATCTCAAATTTTGAACGTGCAGAAATGGACGCCGACGTCAAACAGAAATTAAACGCAGCATTCCAGCACCCTTATCCCCTATTCCAACATATTACAAAGTTGAGCAAAGATATTTACTACTCGGATAAATACTATGATGTGAAATTTGAGTACAGACATGTGGTCTTGCCGAAAAAACTTGTAAAGCTGGTGCGCAAATCGCATCTGATGACAGAATCCGAATGGAGATCAATCGGTGTGCATCAGTCGCGCGGCTGGATACACTATATGATACACAAGCCAGAGCCGCACATTTTGCTATTTCGGCGTCGCAAAACGGAGGAGTAGGCGTACAAAAACACTCCCGGCACATACACACACACACACAAATACATGCATACACATTCACAACACATCTTACATATACGTATAAGCATACATGGAAGCGTTCCAGCTGACCCGACGGCGCAGCTGCTTCTGCGACTGCGCAAATAGTGGTAGCTGCACAACTGTTGCGGTAGCGGCTTTAACCCAACAACGAACACACGCACACATACAAACTCATTCATTTATTCTGTTTTTTTTTAACAATATTCATACATATACTGCTTAAGTCCTGGCACAATTATGAATACGTTGCCATATTGCTATTATATCGAATTCGCCATATTTTAAAAATGTAATTCTATAACTGATTTTCTCCACATAAACCCTATTTGCGCCGTAAATTTCAGTTTTGCTTTAAGCCATAGCACTATATACACTAACATCGCGAAACGCACACAGCGTTATGAAAATTGCCTGCACATTTTCATTTAATATTAAAGATATATGATTTGTGATCTAGAAAATTTTTATAAATACATAATGCATTACGTTTTAACATAAGATAAAGTTAAAAATAAAAAAAAAAAATACAAAAGAGACTCTTGAAGATCTTTACTCCCGCTTCCCATAAGCCACCCATGTGGGGGGCGCTTGGAGGGTTGAAGAGCCAGGACAAGTTTTGATGGCTGTAGGATGAAATTACACGCGTTTTCGCGGCTTCTATAAAGTCACGCGATAAAGATTTGGAGGCTCCAACGAACTTTTTGGGGGCACTCGAGAAAGAAATCGGTCGTCAGGTTCGAAGTGGCTTCTAAGTGTGTGGCTCGAGTGCTGAAGCATACATAGACGCATTCATAGCCCTTGGTTATTAGACATGCTGGACCTGTGTAGTTTTTTATGTCAAACGGTCCTGCGAAATCGACGCCTGTATGCGTGAACGGACGGGAGAACGTGGATCATTCCACTGGCAAATCACCCATGAGTTGGGCTTGCAACTTCTTGCGATAAACTGCACATACTCGACAGGAATTTATCGTGGCCTTAACTAGATTCCTGAGTTTGGGAATCCAGAACTTGCACCGGATCAGGCGCATCATATCTGGTTTCCACCATGGAGGGAGAAGTGTGAAGGAGCTTTCATAAGGAAGAATGATAGCGCAATGACTCAGAAGCTCTCACGCATGCTCTCATGACTCCATTGTGATAGACGAACGGATTAAGATTAATGATGGGGCTTGAGCTTGGAATTAGTTGCTTGTCGAGTAAACACTGATACTCTTTGGGGTACTTAATGCGTTGAGTAGCTCAGTACTGCTGATGTCCTTTAGAAGTTGAATATCAGGTTTAAGACAGCGCCTTATAAAACGGAATATATAGGCCACGACTCTTAGTGCTTTGCCGAATTTGGAATTTTCGCTGTCAACAGGTGGACTGAAACTTTGCGCAGTTTCGATCCGGGTATATATTGCTGCTCTGTAAGCGCTCTGAGACGCATTGCAAAAACCATGGAGCTGCATCTTTGCCTTAGGGGAAGATTGAACCCATCTGGGGATGCGTATCTTATTGAGAGTTGCATAACTCTCGAGGAATTCATGCCATCTTTTTAGGAGTTGGCTTGCCAAGGATTGGTCCCAACCCAGATCATGAAGCCAGATCTCTTGCATGAAGATCTTAATACGGACCATGAAAGGAGCTGGATCGAACAGTTTGGCGATTTGTAAAAGCAGCTCACGTTTTGTGTAGGATTGCTTAACTTTGATGTCGGAGGGGGCGAAGAGGAACTCATCGGTGTCTGCTTTTCAGCGTATACCGAGAGTCTTCTCAAGCCTGGCTTCTTCAATCTCCAAGAAATCGGCTCGCAGTAGTTGCTCTCTCGGAAGATTATGAGCACAGCCTTGTCGCTGGAGCAGCATGTCAATCTGCGAGCTCGTGTGGAATAGGGAATCAGCCAATTGAATATTTGGTATGTCCCTCAGAATGCTGTGTGGAAGTGGATGCGATGGTAAATTGCCCACCGAATTGGCCAAAACGAAGGCAGAGAGTTTAATTTGGATCATCGGCTTAGTAGGGGAACCAATCTTGAAGTGACATAACTTCTTTGAATTGGCTGAGATGGCTTGAATTAAGCCGATCACTTCTGTTCAGACTGGGTGGAATGGAAGCTTCATTAGATTGAAAAGCCGTTCGGAGATGAACGTCGCTTCCGATCCCGAGGGTGTTGTGGCGACCCTTGCACGTAAAACAATTATGTTGACTCGTGCAATTTTTAATTGATGCCCTCTCGCCCTAGAGTGCGATAACGTTCCAATAGGAAAAATGGAATAATGGAATAAAATGGAATACGAATTTAGGTCGATCCACATCGGGATGTCAACCTTGTTGTGCAACGACTGTTCCCACAGCGAATGTGTAAGCTTGGGTAGGAGGCGCACAGTTAAACTAGAAGGCAATCCCAATTCACAGTACTTATGCGGGAGTGCTCTGGAGCTGTCAAGCAACCTTGGATGGTGCTCTGTAGGTCCTTAATAGCAGCTCCTGATTCCTGCGAAACTGGCTGGAGATTAAAGAACACATGAAGTTGGCTGTTAACTAACAGCCTCTTGATCTCAAGTCTGTCAGTTAAGTTACTCCACGCTGATGCGAAACCATCATTTGTGAGACGAGACATGGACACGATTGCCTTCGGTTCCCCGCCTGTCTCTGAGTTGCGGTGAAGTAGTTTTTCGATCTCTGTTAACCGTGGGTTGGTTATATAGACAGCTGGCAAAAGGTCTCGGAAAGTGGGCCATTTTAAATACTCCCCATAACAAATTTCAATCTCCACGGGAGGGAGACCGCAGCCTCTTGGCTGTTGGTTAGGCGCAGGAGCCGCGATCATGGCGGTTGCGCTCTCTATTTGGTGACTTGCTATCTTGCACGTTCGACTCTTCTTGGCTGAAGACTTTTGAACAGCGGTCACACTTTTGCTCGACCATACCCCAAATTGCACGAACTTGGTCTAAGCGGACTTTAAGTGTGTGGAGCGACACGACAAGATTCGGAGACGAGTTAATTCTTGCTTCGAACTGACAGAGTCTGTCAGTAACGGCAATGAATTTGTTGAGTGACATTTTTTGGGTGTTTTGGAGAATTTGAGACCTGCTGTGCGAGTAATTAGAGGACCGGTTACCGAAATTGTCGGACCTTAGCGGACACCCTTGAAGAAGTTGCCTGGATAGTTAACTTTTCTGAGGAAGAGGTGTGGACCCTTTTCAGGATTGATGGCGAGGAATCTTTTTTCATCGGAGGGTGCGGAAGTGAAATTGATCTTCTGTGCTGTGTTGAAGGAGCGGGAAGTCGTTGCTTACTGCTTTTGTCGCTATCAATTGGCATAGTAGGCTCCTAAAAAGCCTCGGACTTGGATGGCAGCGTAGAAGCATAAAGAATAATTGTTTAAATTAATTAAACAAATACTAGTAAATGGAACGATGGAATTGTTCCAATTTTAACGTTGAGGTTGTGGTTAATGTTGCGGGAAAAGGTAAAAAACAAATAAAAAAATATTTATTTACTTTAATTTACCAAATGTAAGTAATTGTAACGATGGAATCGGTCCAATTTAGATGAAGTCGTCTATTTTTATTTTTTTGTATATAAAAAGGAACAAGGACAAACAGAAACAAAAACAAATAAAAAGAATATTTGTTTATTATTTTAGTTTTTTAATTAATCAAATGAGATTTATTTGAAAAGTTGCATGCACAAATATAATACAACATTATATTAATAAATAAATATAATAAAAACTCTTAAAAATATAAATATATATATATATATATCTGTCCAATAAGGATGTGGATGTGGATGCGACTTAAATAATTTTTTTTGCGAATAAACATAATATGTCACGACCCAAGAGTAACGAGTACCTTGCAACGGGTACCTTGTCAACACATACGTCTGGTACCCTTGACACCCTGTGTTCGACTTCACTTTGTTTATCGTCTTATTATAAAACGAAATGAACCAATGCGGCAAAATCTAACTGCACGGAATGCAATTAATTGCACAGTTCTGCTCGGTTGCCTAGTCTCAGTTTGCGGGACCCAACAGACAGCGAGCGGTGGGGTTCACTTTGTGCAGTTTTAATACCTGTTTCCGTAGTTGTTATGCCTTGTTAATTTGGAAGGCTCTAACACACAATCACTTATTTAAACTGCTAATTTTGTTGGACGTGTGTGTTTTATCACTTATGTATATGGACATATAGTGTGCAACAGCAAATATGCATGCGTAACAATTTGGACAAAAAGTATGTGCTAGTAAATAATATTTATTTATTATTTATTTTTTTTTATTTCATTGTGTTTTTGGGCTGCAAGTGCGTATATCTTGATATATGTATGTATGTATTTTACTGTAAACTTGTGTAGGTACATCCATACATTCCTTCTATCGTTAATTCACAATTAGTTAAGAAAAACACAATTTTGCTTTTATCTGCTCCACTGGTTTAATTCGACTGACTTAAGAAAAAGACTACAAATATGGCGTCTGGGCTACTTTCTTAAGCTACATAACTTAGCTGCTTGGAAGCCACAAAACTATATGGTAGCGGTCTTGTTGAATTGCAGCATAATTTGCGGCATGAACAGCATATGTAGAAGAGAGATAGCATAATCTTAACATAATCTGCCTTTGGAATTGCGATTGATACCCTAACTAATACATATATGAGGTATATGTCCAAACATCCCGGCCACCTTGAAAGAATTACTTTTCCAGAGACAGGTAGAACAGGGGCAACAGCGTCCGGAGGCAGTGCGAATAATTTCTAATGCAATGGCGGTGTGTTGTTCTCATGTATGATGACCATAGAGCTAACGGTGAGATTTGGGAAACCGAAGTCCACTTTGTCCTAACTCTAAGCTCGTTTACATATCCCGCAGACCAACGACGCCAAAATTGCTGTGTGACAGCCGTGATCTGCTCGTAACGATTCAATTTGGAGATGTTGTTGGTGATAGTCTCACGCTCTGGCAAGCGTGCGGTGCATCTCCATTTAGAAAGTGTCCTGCAGTGAAAGCGGTGACAGCGGGCGAGAGTTGAGAACTGCTTCTATCTTAACGACTGCAGTGTTCAGCTCCTCAAAGGTAAGCTGCGCTCTTGCGTTTCAAAAAACTTATGCGATAACAGATCTGTCACGATTTCAA